ATCCAACACATTACGTTTGGTTTCAGAAGGGCAAACTTTCAAAAAATGAGGAGATTGGTAGAGATAAAGTTAAAAGGGACAGTCAAGAGGATCGATTTTTTTCCACAATGCTTAGAAATTATTCAAAATTACAAAAATAAAATCATAGTTGGAATATATACATTAGATGAGGAAAGATTCCATAAAGTCCAAGTAAACAACAGAGTGGCTAATGAACATGGTCGACAATGCTGTTGAAAGAAAATAAACTCCCTTCAAAAAATTGAAGTCTTGCTCAAATGAGAATAAGAAACATAAACTGCCAAAAGCCATAGGAGGAGTTCTATCAAGCTTCAAAAGACAGACTTTGAAGAACATATAGCAAACAGCATTAGACTAGACAATTTTTTAAAAAATATATTCAGAATAGGAAACTGAGCTGGGAGGTTGTTGAACAATGGGCATGTTAAAGATGGGCTAAAGGAAAGCAGGGAAATACTAACAAAACTAACAAATTATTTCTGCCTTCACTGTTGAAAATGTAGGACCAATATTTGTGCTTAACTGGGCTTTTTTATTAGGAAAATCAGATGGACTGAGACAAATAGGGGTAACAAGGTAAAATTTTACGCCAAACTAAAATAAACCTCCAAGTCAGACAGTATTCATCTAAGACTTCTTAAAGAACTTAAAATTGAAATTGCTGGACTTTTCATTCAAAAAAACCAACTTCTCTTTAACATCAGCATCTGTTCCTGAGGCCTAGAAAATTATTCCTGTTTCAAAAAGAAGAGTTGAGGGGAAATAAAGGAAACTACAGGTAGTCCTTGCTTAACGACCACAATAGTGACCAGAAAATTTGTTGTTAAGCAGGGTGGTTGTTAAGTGAGTCACGCCTGATTTTATTACCTTTCTTGTAGCGGTCATTAAGGGAATCACATGGTTCCCCATTGATTTTGCTTGCCAGAAGCTGGCTGGGAAGGTCGCAAATCGTGATCATGTGACCCTGGGACACTGCAAACATCAGCTGCGAGCTGGTTGCCAAACACCTGGATCATGATCACGTGACCGCGGAGGTGCTGCAGAGGTTGTAAGTGCAAGGACTAGTTGTAAGTCCCTTTGTTCAGCACCATTGTAACTTTGAACAGCTGCTAAACAAATGTATAGGCCAGTTAGATTAATATCTCTGTGTGTGTGCCTTTGAGAATGTTGACTCCTGGTGACTGCCTAAACAAGTCTCTGTAGTTTTCTTGTCAAGGTTTTTCAGAAGTGGCTTGCCCTTGCCTCCTTCCTAGGGCTGAGAGACAGACTGGCTCAAGGTCATCCAGCTGGCTTTGTGCCTAAGGCGGGACTGGAACTCATGGCCTCCTGGTTTCTAAGATGGTGCCTTAATGACTATACCAGATTGGCTCTTTCTAGCATTTTCTCTAGCATTTATTTTCTCTAGCATTTTCAACCATTTCCCACAGATTAGATGTTAATCTAATCTGTGGGAAATGGTTGAAAATGCTAGAGAAAATAAGCAAATACATAGCACTGCTGAAAATGGCTTGGCTTCTGCAAAGGTCTTTTTTTATCAACGTTCTAGACTTTTTGGAGAGCATCAGAAAGCATACCGCCTTTGTAATATCAATAGATATTGCCTACTTGGATTTTCAGAAATCCAAAAATGAACAAAAACTCCCTCAACAAAGCTCCTCGCCCAATGTAGCTGTCATAAGAGGATAGGTGTTCTCATAGATTGGCAACTGGCTAGAAAAAAAGGAAATAGAATACAGATAATTCTCATACACTGCGTGCACATTTATTAGGCAAGTTGTATTTTTGAGGATGAATTTCATTATTGA